AAAATCTTCTTCTCCAGAACCACTGGGCCAGGAAAGATGAAACTCATGTGGAATCATCCTCAGGTAGTGTAGATTCAAGTTTGTTCAAATCATGACCCCCGGGGCTAGGGTGGGGCCAAAATGGCCGACCCAAGTTTTACATAGGGATATATAGGGAAACCTTTTAAAATCTTCTTTTCAAGTACTTCAAAGCTATGATTAGTGATATTTATATGGAATCATCCTCAGGTAGTGTAGATTCTAGTTTGTTCAAATGATGAACGCCTGGGGGGGGGACTAAATTAAAGCCTGATGTGCTCAGGTGAGCGCTGTGGCCCCTGGGCCTCTTGTTTAGGATAGTCATCTAAAAGGACTCCTGAGAAAGATATTCAAAACATAAAAAAAAATGTTCTAACATTCCGAAAAGTGGAGTTAGGTGACATTATTTAGTGAGTAAAAAGAACTTGAAGGGTAATAGGAGATGGCGATTTGTGTTAATATTTTCCCTGTTCGAGTCAAATTTCCACAAGCTATTTTTTTTAAACAAATAAAAGCGTCTGTAAGTCACTTTAAAATTTTTATCAAGTTAATCAAATGTAGGTCTTTTAAAAGGTTTTACATCAAAATGATTTAGATGTCAGATATACAAAAAGATGTGCGAACAAGGCCAACAGAATGCGGCAATGCCTATATACTTATATCTTCAGCTGTGTAAAAAATTAAATCGTATTAATATGGCGAGTTTAGCATTTAAAATGAAGTTCTTATTATACATGTAGAAATTGATGATATTATGACAAGGAAAGGGGTTTGTGGTATTCTTTTTACTTTCGGCAATAAATATTATAATCATAAAAAAGTGTTCCTTGTCATGTCCTTGATGCATGGTCATGATACTTTTTCCAATTTTTCCAATACTTTTTCCAATTTTTGTGCGTGCATGCTATTTCATTATCATATCCAAGTCATAACTTTTACCTTTATATTTGTCTCACCATTTAGGCATTTTTCTTGTTTAAATCTCCCATTTTTCAACTTGGAATTTATATACTACAGTATTTCATTATTTACAACTGCGACAAAGTTGCTACTCATCCCCTAATTGAAACGTGTTGATTTTACTCAAATTATCAAGGTATTTTTACTATTATATTCATTATTTTTATCGATGAATGATTAAATTTTTATTCATTTTAAATGAACATCTGTACGTCACTGATAATTTTTGTTCCAAGTAGAATCCATAGAAATTTTAAATTAAAATTAAAAATGTAAAGCACGATAAAATCTTTTGCATACAGTCATACAATTCATAGTTTCAAAAATATGATTCTTAGCCTATAAAAAAATAAATAACAATTTAGAGCAAATTTCACATGAAAGACAGAGGAGTCGACCTACCATACTTATACTGAGAATGAGAATGAGCACACTTTATAAAAATCTGAAATCCAGCCGTCTGTCTCACACACACTTATATTTTATGCGTTATCTGACCCCATTTTTAAATATTTTTTATGCCAACCCAGGTTATGCTACAATAAAACAAATATACGTAAGGGTTAAACTATCTAGTGGGGGTATTCCAGGCCACGACGCTACACACTGCTGTATACCAATAAATGTTTCATTCCTTGGAGGTTAATATAATAAATGTTGCTAACAGCTGCAGTCAATATTGCTATATTAACCTCTAAATGAAACGTTTACATGTAAATAAGACAGGGTCCTTAACATGACTCCAGAGAAAACCAATCTTCATATATACTGTAACATATATAAACGGAAGCGTGATCTATCATTCTGATGCAGTAGGATACTGCTTATATTATTACATTTGAATAAATCTAAGTCTAGAATCACACGATTTTCTTTTGAAACACTTTTTTTCTTTTCTTTCTTACGTGTGTGAGTGGGAATTCTGCATGATTTGTTAGTGATTAATGCTTAAAAACGTAGTTTTTCAATATGTCTAAATTGAGTTTTTTTAAATTTGCATTTTCAAAACGCCCCTTCCTTCAAAAACATTCATCAATTTTTAATTGTTTTATTTTCCAATCTTTATAATTGTTGGAAAAATATTTATTCATTGAATGCGTATGTGTTGTATCTGCTACCTATGATATATTTGTTTTGTTCTGATTTTTGTATGAGAAAATAAATAATTTATGTGTATTTAAAGGGGTTTGGTGGTTGTGGCCATTTTTAGACTAGTCTGGTCTCCTTTAGAAGAAGAGCTTCATCTATACAGATGCAAATATGATCAAAATTTCAAAACCAAAATGTATGAAAGCATGTTGGTTAATTTGTTGACCCCCACCCTCCTTCAGAACATAACTACAAATGACTTCTTTTGTTATATCTTTGTAAGCAAAATTATGTTTTTCCCTTGAAATGTTATTTTTCTTTAGGCTATTTTTAAAGAAGTAAAAGCAACTCGCTTTAAAATTCTTATCAAGGCTAATTTAGAGTAAATATTTAAAAGGGTTTACTTCAAAATGAGTTGTACGTGTAAAAAAAAAATAAACTATCTATGTATTTCATCTGTCATGTTGTAAATTTTGAATTTACTGGGTGGCAGTAAATACAAAATGTACAACATGAATTTATAACATGACACATCTTTCACATTGTATAAATATTCTAGCTATCAAATGTTTTTCATTCACTGTTTTGAATATATAGATTTCTTTCTATTACGAGGGCCGTTCAAAAATTACGCGGACTGTGCTATTATTTACTCTTACAGACGTCATATAGTTATGAGATTTCACAGAAA